CTGAAAGGTTGCTGGCTGATTTCTAATTGTTTTTCTTCTCATAGTCATGTTTTTATTTTTTAAATATTAATATTTATTTATGTAAGGCTTTTCTTTTTGAAAGGTAGAGTTACACAGAGAAGAGACAGCTGCTCATGAGTATATACAACATGTTCAGGGCAATTACCAAGGCTATTTATACAACAACATAATACAACTATTATCAGGTGCACATGGAAACAGAATGTTTAATTTCAGCATTTTCAAATATTCTACCAAAACCAAAATCCATTTTTAAAAATCTTACAAATGCAAACATTAATACGGCCACAATTTACAACACCAGATTATTGGATATAATGCTTAAGCATATGAAGTGAAATATGGTAACAGGTTTATAGGCTAACTATTCTTTTCATAAAAAATGATAATGAACTTCTCTTTTTAAAAAGTATGAAGAAAAGGCATTTAGCCTAACAGTTAGTTCAGATGCTAGCTAAGATACTGGAGACCCACACTGGTGTACCTAGGTTCAAGTCCCAGCTCCAGCTGGGACTGTGTTAACACAGTCTCGAAGAGTCAGCAACAACGGCCCTGCCTCCAGTGGGAGAGGTGGAGTGTGTTCCTGGCTCCTGGCCCCTGGCCCCTGGGTCGCGGACCCAGGCCAGCACAGCAGTAGCAACTTCAGGGATTTGGAAAGTGAAGTAGCATATGGGATCTCTTTCCATCCATGTTCCTGCCTCATTTGTGCCTCTCATATAAATAAAACAAAAAAAGCCAGGACGGAAATACATAAAAATGTCCACACTGGTTATCTACAGCTAGCATGCTTTTCCTTCTGTTTTCCTGTATACCTCAAGTTTTCTAAGACAAAAACTTAATACCTTGTAACAGTAAAAAAAAAAAAAAAAAATTAAAGACAATAAACCAAAAGCAAATAAGAACAGAATTGTATATACAAATGGAAACTAAGTTTATTCTGGCCTCCTGGCTCTGACCTGCACCAGCCCTGTCATTACACCCATTTGAGAGACAATCAGCATATGAAGATCTGTCTTTCAAATAGATAAAACTTTCTTTAAAAGTTTCAGATTTTGCAATTTTTCAGACTTGTTAGATTAGAGATGTTCACATGTGACAGAAATCAGTATGCTAGTCTACATATTTTAGCATTTATATAGGAAAAATTCCCCATCAACCCACTTTGATTTTCAAAACAGTACAAATATATGTTTTCCTTTATTTAACATGGCTCTTCAAACTCACAATTATAGAATTGTGAGAGTGACATACGAGCAAAGACATACTGAACCATAAATACTGTTGAGCTCATTAAAAGAAACTTCAAGTTGTAATTACTAATTGCAGGACCATATCATCTGTTCATACTTATCAAAGATATTTTCATTTCAAGGAAAATTAAATGCTTTTTCAGTTTCAACAGCAAATGTAAAGATTATCCCCACCCACAGACAACATTACCTAAAACAGCAGTAACATATCACTACAGCAAAGCATCAGGCAGTTATTAAAAACATTGTAGTATATCAGAAATCATCTCAGAACAGCCAATAAAGTAAAAAGGAACGCTTTGCTCAGAATACAATATATGAGCAGATGCATGAGAAAGAAAACAAGTGAAGCTTAACTCAAGTCACTAGAAAACCACAAGGAATCAATAAGAAAAGCTGCCAAAATAAAACAAAAGGTGTGAAGCAATGCCTTCAAACAACAAAAGAATATGTAAAATATACAGAGATGCAAGACGGAGGGTCACACACTGATGTAACAAAGACAACTGGGGCAGAAAGATGCTGTGGCTATGCCCACGCCAGGGCTACTTGCCTTGGCACTGCATTAAGAAAAAGTGGGTCTGCTGTACACTGATGACTTTAACACAGACCAAAAAGACATCCTCCTCTGAGGCGTCCCGAATGCCTGGCTACACAAAAGGGAAACCAGTGGCACTTTCTACTTAACCTGTAATACATATAGGACACTAACAGCTCCAGTGACACTATGACACTGTGATAATCTCATATTTCTTTTTTTTTTTTGATTTATTTTATTTTCATTACAAAGTCAGATATACAGAGAAGAGAGACAGAGAGAAAGATCTTCCGTCCGATGATTCACTCCCCAAGTGATCGCAACAGCCGGTGCTGCGCCAATCCAGAGCCTGGATCCCAGAGCTCTTCCTCCAGGTTTCCCACACGGGTGCAGGATCCCGAGGCTTTGGGCCGTCCGCAACTGCTTTTCCAGGCCACAAGCAGTGAGCTGGATGGGAAGTGGAGCTGCCGGGATTAGAACCGGCGCCCACATGGGATCCTGGCGCGTTCAAGGTGAGGACTTTAGCCACTAGGCCACGCCGCTGGGCCCAATCCCATATTTCTGATGCCACAAATTCATGTCCTAAGATTAATCTGTTCAATTTGTTCTCCCATATCCCTTAAACATTAACAGTGAAACTGCGTGTGCGTTTCTGAACTGTTAATACTCTGATAATTTTAGATACACCTTTTTGAAAATGAACATGCACATGTAAAGTTTGCTAACATTTCACAAAATGAACAAAGTCATGTAAGTACTGAACCAAGGAAGAGAACAATCCTAGCACTGCAAAAGGCCCTTCTTACCAATCTTCAAACATTTCCTCCAGCCTTTGCCAAAGGTAATCAATACCCTGACTTCGGATATCAGATTAGAGCTGGATTTGGTTTTTTTAAAATTTACATAAGTGGAATGACAAGGCATTTGAATATCAGAGCCTTATCTTCTTTGCTTAACGTTCCATGTGTGAGATTCCCATGTTTTTATATGAAGCTGCAGTAGGCTCACTCAAATCACTAATTAATATTCATTGTGCGACAATGTTACAACTTATTTACCCAGTCCACTGTTCATAGACATTTGGGAAATTCCAGTTTTGATGATTAGTCCTGCCATGAACAGGACTTCTGGTGAATACATGCCCATGATTTGTACAAATCTAGAAGTAAAACTGCTGAGTCATAAGGCATGCATGTGCCTTACGGAAGAAATACTGTAGGCCTTTACAAGGAAATTTGAATGACTAGTGATTAAAAGTTTCTGATGTCAAAAATTACAATCAGATGGATAAAGATGTCAAAGCAGGACAGATAACTCCCAACACCTCTACGCGTGAAGCAAATTAATTTAGAAAATTTTCACCAGAAATTTAGCATGTGGCAGTAGAAGTAACCAAGGTTGTCTTACCCTTTCTGATTTTGATGATGCTAAAATGCAGAAGCAAGAAACTGAAGAGCCATTACTGTCAGTAAAGTAGCTACTTTTCAACATGTTACAAAAAAATATAATTATTGCAAGTCACAATCTTGTAGCAGCTGATCCTGCACTCCTTTGATTAAGCTCTCAAGGTAACAGACTTCAGAACTCGTCTAGCTGAGCATGTAAACGCCCTCTGCCTAAATGAACAGGATAATAAAAATTCACTTAATTCTTGAACAGAAAAAGGACACTGGGCAGAAACTAAACAAACCTGAGTACCATATGAATTTTTACCAGTAAAGGCATATCAAAATTGGGTCATTAATTCTAATAAAGGTACTAGAGTAATGTATCAATAAGGAAAGGAGATACAGGAACTCATGGACTATTATCATTTTTCTTTTTCTTTTTTTGCTTAAGATTTTTCTTTTTTTTGAAAGTCAGATATATAAAGAGGAGGAAAGACAGAGAGGAAGATCTTCCGTCCGAAGATTCACTCCCCAGTTGACTGCAACAGCTGGAGCTAAGCCAATCCAAAGCCAGGAGCCTCTTCTGGGTCTCCCAAGCAGATGCATGGTCCCAAGGCTTTGGGCCGTCCTCAACTGCTTTCCCAGGCCACAAGCAGGGATCTGGATGGGAAGCGGGGCTGCCGGGATTAGAACTGGCACCCATATGGGATCCCAGAACATGCAAGGAGAAGACTTTAGCTGCTAGGCTACTGCGCTGGGCCCCTATCATCATTTTTCTACAAAACTAAAATAAGATTCATTTTCAAAAGTCCACTTCAAACTAGGCAACGCAATCTGCAGATTGTAATACATCTGCTACCCTATTTTCAGAATGCAATCCAGTGGCACATGCACATGTACCCACCTACACATACATAGTTTCCATCTATAGTGTAGATACCTACATCCAATGGGGGAAGCACTCTGCCTAGGACAATTTTGGGTTCAGCTTCTAGCTATAAAATTATGAACAAGAGTCAGGCTTCCCTTTTTATCTAATCTTTAAAAGTCTAACCTTTCTGAATACAGACTAAAAATCACATTATGATTCACTAAGACCCAATTCCCCAGCTACACTCAAACAATAAAATAAAATCATACAACTTCAAGCAAGGACAACATTCCAACAAGCCTATTTTTGTGGTTTAAACCATAGGTTCTTTCCTTTCAGCCTGAAAGAGTGAAAAAAGGACAACAGCCTATGCCTTTATGCCTTTGAGGTACTTAGAAAAATACGCAGCCACTAACACGATCCCAAAATTAGAGGAAGCAACCCTGGCTGGGCAGGGCAGCAAGAGTCCCAGGCTCCACTTTCAGTCGCGCCACTCATTTGTCCCTCAACCATGGGCACGTTTCTGGTCCTCAATTTCATGATCTTGAACTCTTTTTAAAACTTTAATTTTAATTCAGAAGTAGAGGAACATGCATAGAGAAAAGAGACAGAAAGAGAACTCACATTTTCCAGTTTAATGTCCAAATTGCTGGAGTGGCTGGTGTGGGCCGGAGACGGGGGCTGAGGACTTAATCCAGGCCCCGCCCACGCAGGGCAGGCAGCCATCACAAGGGCTGCCCAGTGTGTGTTAGTAACGAGCTGGAACTGGGAGTGAGAACAGCACTCAAACCCAGCCATCCCAATATGGGATGTAGATGTCCGAACCGTGGAATAAACCACCAGGCAAGACACCTGCCCCCTAAAGTCCCTTTCACATAAAATTCTTGCATGAATCAGGAAGTCTTTGCACTATCATTTCATGGCTGTGTCAGATATTATAGTCAAACATATCTTTATATGTCCTATAACATTATGAAGAATCTAAAAATTATATAGAGAATATAATGAAAACATATTTATATAATACATAATGAGTGACAGAAAAGACAAACTGGACTGCTATCACAGATTTTTCCATTTACTTAGCCTACTATCAGTAATCACACATACATAACAAATATTCACAGTAATATTTCAATATGGAAAAGAGATCTTTGGGAGCTCTGTAGTCCATCCTTACCATTTTTTCCACACATTTAGAACTATTTTAAAATAAAACTATGACAACAAGCCTTGGCTTTCTTGGTTTTCTCTTTGGAAGCCTATATGAATCAGTTGTGATTTTAGCAACCTTCTCTCTAAATACAATTTAGTTCTGACTTCTACAGTAGGGGTCGTCAGACTTTCTTAAAGGGTCAGATAGCAGCTATGGTAGGTCTTATGGATCACCTGATCTCCGTCAGAATTCGACTCCGGTTACAGTACAAGTGCAGCCAGACTATTGTAAATATCTGCATCTGTGTTTCAATAAAACTTCATTTACAAAAACAAGCAGCATCTCCAGACTGCCAACCCTTGTTCTATAGTGAGGGAGGCAAGGTGAGAGAGAGACTTTGTAAAAGCTCAGTGTGAGTTTACTCTGAAATGAACCGCTTTGTTTGCAGGGAGGAAGTGTTTAGGAATCACGATCTTCACCTACCTGTGAATGTTCAAGTTTCCCCTGCGTGAACGCATCACGTCACCAATACCTAAGACAGAGCAGGAAAACACTCTCCCTTACACGCTGTTACGACATAACAGGGGGTGTGCTAACTTACATAGGCAAAATTTACAAGATGACCTGCAAAAGTAAAATACCAGGTTTTAGCAACTTTACTGATAAACACAGAAACTCAAACTCGACTAAATTTTTTCCATTGTTAAGCCACATGGTTTAAATAAGTGTCAAGATCATTGGCTTTCCAGGGAGAGCTACTCAGTTTCTATGCAAACCAGCAGAACTGTGGATCCTCCATAACCTGCTAAATTCCCGGGAAGGCAGAATAACTAAGAGAGAACAGTTCTCACGTACTGTGGGGTTGCTCACCAGTGTGAAGTCACAGAATCAGGCCAGAATGGATTTATCATTTCTTAGGGTTGCCCCTGCCCCCCAACTAGTATATGTATTATGCTCTGCAACAGTCACCTCACCAACCAAGTAATAACTAGCAGATGTTCAACAGCAGGCTGGAGCAGAGCTGGCCCACAAGAATGAAGCAAGTGCCTTTTTAAAAACTAATCTTGAGAAGTTCCTCTGCATGGCTTTGCAAAGTAAGCAAAAACCATGCCAAACAGTAAAAAAAAAAAAAAAAAAAAAAAAAAAAAAGGCACTTACTTGACTCCCACAGGCCAGCTCCACACTCCAGCAGCTAGGCTGTTGCTGGCATGGTACATGGAGAGTGGAAACACAATCTTGCCAACCACTGTAGGAATGGTAGTGAAAGACCTGAAGGAATAGAAGATAGTCCAGTCAACGCCAAAGGCCAAGGCCCTCCCTTGGCTGCCGTCACAGAGCTAACCTCATAGGCAGAGAATGTCAAGTCCAAACGACCATAAGCTATGAGGTTTGATCTTCAGGAAACCAGGGCACTATTACAGGAATAAGGGTTGTAACCTAGAATATGTCTGGACTGATTAGGAGAAACATAGTATTACATTTCTGGTATCATATGGTAAGCTCAACCAAATGTAAAAATTGGGAATCTGAAACAACTCATCAACCCATACTCACAGAAATACTTCCAGAAGCATCTCATGCTTCTAGAATCTATATATGTAAAGACACACATAAATATGTACATAAGTAAACTGATAGTAATCTAATAAACAAAAATACTTTGTTTTCAGTTAGAAGAGATTCTGACGCCTGGTGCAATAGTTCAGTGGCTAAATCCTTGTCTTGCACACGCCAGGATCCCATATGGGAACCAGTTCGAGTCCCAGCTGTCCCACTTCCCATTCCAGCTCCCTGTTTGTGGCCTGTGAAAGCAACAGAGGATTGCCCAAGTACTTGGGACCTTGTACCCACATGGGAGACCTGGAAGAAGCTCCTGGCTCCTGGCTTCAGACTGGCTTAGCTCTGGCCATTGCAGCCACTTGGGGAGTGAACCAGTGGATGAAAAGTCTTTCTCTCTGTAAATCTGCCTTTTCAATAAAAATGAATAAATCTTTAAAAATAAAAAGATTCTGACAACAGAAAAACTAGGTTAACTGGGATAAGTCTGAAACTCTTACTAGTTTCAGCAACAAGTTCATAAAACTTCAAAGTCTTTGTATACTACAGTCAGCATGAATACTACAGTCACCACCTGGGGGTGGTGATGAGTTCCCAGCTGCTCCACTTCCAATCTAGCTCCCTGCTAATGTGCTCGGCAAAGCAGTAATTGGCCCAAATGCCTGAGCCCCTGTACCCATGTGGAAGACCCAGAAGTTCTTGGCTCCTGGGTTAAATCTCACCAAGTCCTGTCATTGCAGTCATCTGGGGAGTGAACCGGTGGATGGAAAATCTCTGTAATTTTGCCTTTCAAGTAAGTTAAAAATAAAATGAATCAAAATAAACAATGTTTTTGAGAAAAAAAACCATTAATGCACTAAAGGCCAGCATTTGGAAACAAACCAGGGGAAGGCAGATCTTCACCTCTTTTAAATAAAATTAAAATAAATAATTTGTTTGGAAAACAAGAGATTATCCCAAAACAAAAACAGCAGTTTCACATGCTGCTACTTCCTCTTCTCATACTTACACCGTATACCAAAAAATTACATAGTTAGTAAAAAAAAAAAATAGTGAAAAAAAATTGTTAATTAGCAATCCCTTCTCTCCTCTCGTCTAATCATTCCTAAAAACAAAACTGTTTTCCTTTACTGGAATCACAGTCAGCATTTTTCCTGCAGAACCAGGGGAGAAGTAATCAGGCAGCTGAGTTCAATCATTCTTGAGGTTCTAATATCTATCAAAAAACAAAAGTAAGGATAATTTTTCATTCTAAATAAGTTTTCATCAGAAGACTATTCTTGTATAAATTTTAATATCCTTAAACTGTTCTAATCCTAATATCCTTAAAACTACTCATCCTTTTTTAACAGACAATCTTGTGGTTCAAACAGCCCAGGTCCCAATTAATTTAATTAGAACAGGAGCTTCACTGCTAACAGCATATTTGGCCAGACTGCATCTTGAGTGCCTCAAGAACATTTTCGTCTGAATTTTGGCTTCTGCTTGCCTTACCTTAGCTCTAGTCCCTGGAAAGCTTCCCGTGTATTAGTGTCTCCCTTGCTGTCTCAGCACTTCTGGCTAATGCACTATAGCAAATCATTTGGAGGGACAACCTGAATGAAGCTCCGCACTGTGCCTCCCACAAAGTGCACAAGCCATTACCTAGGATGCTACAGATGAAAGACAACAGCACGAAACTGAGAACATTCCAAAAAAAAGGTATGAGAGTGCTTTTTTAAAAACAGTAACTATTGGGCCCGGCACGGTGGCGGCACAGTGGTTAAGGTCCTCGCCTTGCACGCCCAGGACCCCATATGGGCGCCGGTTCTAATCCTGGCGGCCACGCTTCCCTTCCAGCTCCCTGCCTGTGGCCCGGGAAAGCAATTGAGGACGGCCCAAAGCTTTGGGACCCTGCACCCGCATGGGAGACCTGGAAGAGGCTCCTGGCTTCAGATCGGCATAGCATCGGCCGTTGTGCTCACTTAGGGAGTGAATCATCGGATGGAAGATCTTCCTCTCTGTCTCTCCTCTCTGTATATCTGCCTTTCCAATAAACAAAATAATAAAAATAAATCTTAAAAAAAACAATAACTATCAAAGGTTTACAATGATTGATACATACAGAAGGATCTTTTATTCAAACAAGTATTTTAGGACCAGGGTTGTGATGCAATGGGTTAAGCCACCACTTGGGCCACCCACATCCCATATCAGAGTCCTGGCTCTAGTCTTGGCTGATCCACTTTGCACCCAGCCTGCTGCTAACACAGCTGGAAGGCAGCAGATGGTGGTGGCTGAAGTACTTGAACCTCTGGTACTCACAGCATCTAGAGACTCAAATGAAGTTTCAGCCTGGTCTAGGTCCTGCTATCATAACCATGTGGAAGAGTAAATCAACGGATACAAGATCTCTTTCTGCCTGTCTCTCAAAAGTATTCTGTCCTTCAAAAAAAAATGATTTTAGTTTTCATTAAAACCAACTTTCTCAAAAAGAAGAGGAAGGAAGGAAGGAAGGAAGGAAGGAAAGAAGGAAGGGAGGGAGGGAGGGAGGGAGGGAGGAAGGGTCTGTCATCTCACTCTTCGGTTTTCCTTGTTTTTCAGCTTGCCTCATAAAACCATGACAATTCAAGAACAACATTTTTAACCATAAAAGGCGCATATCCATTTAGAAAATAAAGCAGATCATCTCCAAATTATGGATAATTCCAAACAGAAAAAAAAAAAAAAAACAATGAATTAATACCAACAAATTTCTATCTAAGATTTGCCTGTGCTTGAAAAACAGGAGGATGTTAGTACATTAAACTTCAGCTGCAGCAGTGCAGCTCCTCGTGGGATTCCTGTGTCACGGCACACACTCCTCTCTACATTTTGCAAAAGGCCCATTCCTCTGTGTGATGAATGACACACTATCCTTCTCTGCCTTCTCTCCGGGAAGCACAAAGGGTTTTCCCAGGATTATTATAAGCAAGGACATTCCACACCAAAAAAGGAAACTGATTTTTTTGAAGTCAAAGCAGCATTCCTCCTAGTCTAACTTTAAATATGACGTAACGGATTCCGCCTTCCCATCCCCCAAGTTGTCAGCTTTCTAAAAGCCAACAGCCAACAGAATGATTAGATACACAAATAGAGACAGAAAAGATCTCAAAAGTTTAAAATGATTTAAAATTAACTACTTAAAAATAGTGTCAATCAGAAAAAAACATTGCAGAAGGATACACACAGAGCAATACCTTCTAAATAATTTTCAAACATGTTCATAACACTTGACAAAGATTTATAGATACCCAACTGTTAAAAGGCTAGACATGCATGTACAATAAACATGGTATTTGAAAGAATGTTACTTTTGGGATACAGAACAAGAAATAAAACTTAGAAAAGCTATTTGAGGGCAGCCATTCCAGCATTTAATTTCTCAAGCTAAGACACCAAGCCTATTAGTCTCCTTGTTTTTACAGACAGGAAGTTTTTTGTAACTTACAAGGACTTATCCCCTGACAAACTCAACTGCATACATCATAATGTCCTTAAGCAGAACCCCTCCTCACACGCACCAAAGCAAACCCCTCTGCTGACAGAAGGGTCTTTCCAGGTCCTCTCCAGTCTCTGCAAACTACTACGTCTTTTCTGTATTTCTTTCCATTAGTTCCGAGACTTTCTGAGCTGGCTACAACTTTTTCCATTAGTTCTGAAACTTTCTGAGCTGCGAATCCGTAATTCAAGACTTCAGTTTATCTCAACGTTTAATGTTACCAAGAACGGGCATTTTAGGCAAGAAATCTATTATAGTTCCTTTCATTCTCCCCCTTTCACTGCTAAAAGCTCTGCTATTAAAAAGAAAGCCATTATATATTTAAAGCTCACCCAACCTTGTGGCAGTTGGCCATACTAACCACCTAAATTCTGTTTGAATCAAAGACTAACGAGCATAGAGCAATACATTAAAGAAAGCACTGTCTAGCATTCAATTTTCCTTTATATGAAGGAATATTCCAAAGTTCTGCAACATGTTATATTAAAATTCTATTTTACCATTTCAGCTATGTTTAGACAACCCTGTAACACTTAAGTTCGGGTAAAAATTCCTTTAAATGTTCAAAAGATTTCATTTTCTTTGGGGTTAAAACAAGAACAAAATCATGTAAAACCAAAGCATGACCAGGTATATATGTAATGGACTTTCACACAAAGTATATACCATTTGCCCCTCCATGTCACCCCAAACAACAGCTGTTTTTCTCTATCTGTCCAACAGCTTCTAGCACCAGCACTCAACGATCAGGGAAAGAGGGACAAGAAAAACCAACAGATAAGAGAGACACAAGCTGATACTTTCCTGTGAACTGTTTTAAGATTATTAGCTGTTAAGATAATCAAAAATAAGTCATCCCTTCTGAACATCTCTATGGTTTCCATGATTACAGAATCTGGGCTGGGGACTTGCTCTCCAGGTTATTACCCACAGACTGCAGGATTCAGACAGTGATCTCCTGTACTGCTTTGACTCACTGCCTCTCACCCATCACCCAACCAGCAATGCCTGAATGTCTATGTTCCTGACACTGTACTAGGTTCAGTTACAAGCTGGAATAATTTTACAGGCTACCAGTGTTCTACAGATTACCAAAGAATCACTTGTTAAGGTTTTCAAAAAGGATTTCTATTCTAACTACCAAGGAAAATGGAAACATGTTCTGTTTCAGGATGGCAGGAACTATTAAACTGCTAATATGGTCTTAGCTTACTTCAATACTCCAACCTTAACGGCTTTATTCCTTGTCCCAACTCTTCCATTCTATGAGCTCCCCCAACCTTACTATTATCTCTTTCTCCATTTCCCCCTCAGTTTGGATTGGGAAAAAAAAGAAGGCAATGAAGAATTATGGTGCTAAAGAAAATACAGGTTGCACAAGCGGCAGGGTCCCATATACTTGGCCCATCTTCCACTGCTATCCCAGGCACATTAGCAGGGAACAAGATTGGAAGAGGAGCAGTAGAGACTTAGCTATACTAGTATACTGTACTATCTAGGATATGAAATAATGCATGTTTCCTAAGTAAAACAATCCAGTAACACTGTTAGTCATCACAATCCAGAGAATCAGGATAGGCACTGTGGCACAGCAGAGAAAGCATGCAGCACTGGCACCCATGTCAGCACTAGTTCAAGTCCTGACTGTTCCACTTCATATCCAGCTCCCTGCTAATGTGCCTGGAAAAGCAGCAG